CGGCTGCAAATTCTACAGGAAAGCAAAGCCCTTCTTTTTTTTTGAAAAATAAAAATAAAAATAAAAATAAATCTCCGGATTGGGTTTTTAATTTCCGAAAAGCAATATTGCAAGCCTGGACTCTGGGGCCCCCCGGTGATATTTAGGAGAAATAAACAGATGTCCTTGATGGAGCTGGTTTAGGTTACTGATCAAGCCCTCGTGTTTTATATGCCAATCTTCAAAGAAATTGCAGAGATTTTTTTTAAAAAAAAAACAAAGTGCGGGAAACAGCGACCAAAACGTTTTTTTCCCCCTTGTTTAAAAGGTCACCGCAGGGAGACCATAAAAACAGAGATGATGGTTTTCTGTTTGAAAAAAAAAGCACCTGAATTATTTGTGGTACCCATACTGTGGATGGAGACATTAATAAAGCTGCTGGACTCTGCCAGTGATGGGGCCAAATTCTTTTTTTTTTAACCTTGGGATGTTCTACACTCCTAAAAGTTACAATCACAACGAGCCTGGCTGTTTACCGTCGTAAATTGTAATAGTCCTAACGCACGGGTCGACCTGATTTTACGATATATTTTTTGTGGCGGTCGTTTAAGCGAACGCAATGGTTGTAAAGCAAATGCCGCAGCCGTAAGTGCAAATCTTGTGGACGTTAAGTGAGCACAGCGGTGGTAAGTGCGAACCCACTGATCGGTACGGGAGCGGTTTTGGCGAAAACTGGAAGGAACTGACGGGTTTGGGCAAAACCGTTGTAAAATTCGGTCGTGCGATCATGGGAAACATCCAAGAGATGTAAGTGTGGTTGTGTTGCTGAGCACCTGAAGAGTGGTCACGTGACTGGGGGGGGGAGTAACTGCTGGAACTTCAAATCTGGGTCATAAACGGTGGTGGGATTCAAGTCGGTTCGCACCACTTCGGCAAAACCGGTAGCTAATTTTTTTGTTGCCCAGGCCCAGAATGGACTTCCGGAAGTGGCATCCATACAGAGAACCAGTTGTTCACATATTTATTTATTTTTATTTATAATTTAATTTATACCCCGCCCTTCTCCTCATGGGACTCAGGGCGGCTAACAGCCTCATAAAAACTACAATACAAATACAATAATTAAAAGCCGAATTAAAAAGAAATATTTAAACAGGCCGATCAATTAAAATTATCCTTAAAAATCCCCTGAAACTTTAAAATCATTAAAAATTATCNCGGCTGCAAATTCTACAGGAAAGCAAAGCCCTTCTTTTTTTTTGAAAAATAAAAATAAAAATAAAAATAAATCTCCGGATTGGGTTTTTAATTTCCGAAAAGCAATATTGCAAGCCTGGACTCTGGGGCCCCCCGGTGATATTTAGGAGAAATAAACAGATGTCCTTGATGGAGCTGGTTTAGGTTACTGATCAAGCCCCCGTGTTTTATATGCCAATCTTCAAAGAAATTGCAGAGATTTTTTTTTAAAAAAAAACAAAGTGCGGGAAACAGCGACCAAAACGGTTTTTTCCTCCTTGTTTAAAAGGTCACCGCAGGGAGACCATAAAAACAGAGATGACTGTTGCCAGTTCAGTTCTGTTTGAAAAAACAACAACACCTGAATTATTTGTGGTACCCATACTGTGGATGGAGACATTAATAAAGCTGCTGGACTCTGCCAGTGATGGGGCCAAATTCTTTTTTTTTTAACCTTGGGATGTTCTACACTCCTAAAAGTTACAATCACAACGAGCCTGGCTGTTTACCGTCGTAAATTGTAATAGTCCTAACGCACGGGTCGACCTGATTTTACGATATATTTTTTGTGGCGGTCGTTTAAGCGAACGCAATGGTCGTAAAGCAAATGCCGCAGCCGTAAGTGCAAATCTTGTGGACATTAAGTGAGCACAACGGTGGTAAGTGCGAACCCACTGATCGTACGGGAGCGGTTTTGGCGAAAACTGGAAGGAACTGACGGGTTTGGGCAAAACCGTTGTAAAATTCGGTCGTGCGATCGTGGGAAACATCCAAGAGATGTAAGTGTGGTTGTGTTGCTGAGCACCTGAAGAGTGGTCACGTGATTGGGGGGGGGAGTAACTGCTGGAACTTCAAATCTGGGTCATAAACAGTGGTGGGATTCAAGTCGGTTCGCACCATTTCGGCAAAACCGGTAGCTAATTTTTTTGTTGCCCAGGCCCAGAATGGACTTCCGGAAGTGGCATCCATACAGAGAACCGGTTGTTCACGTATTTGAATCCCACCACTCCTTCCTTCCTTCCTTCCTTCCTTCCTTCCTCCCTCCCTCCCTCCCTCCCTCCCTCCCTTTCTTCCGTGGGATTCAGCCGGTTCGCACCACTTCCGCAGAACCGGTAGCTAATTTTTTGTTGCCCAGGCCCAGAATAGACTTCCAGAAGTGGCATCCATACAGAGAACCAGTTGTTCACGTATTTGAATCCCACCACTCCTTCCTTCCTTCCTTCCTTCCTTCCTTCCTTCCTTCCTATGGTGGGATTCAGCCAGTTCCCACCACTTCGGCAGAACCGGTAGCTAATTTTTGTTGCCCAGGTCCAGAATGGACTTCCGGAAGTGGCATCCATACAGAGAACCGGTTGTTCACGTATTTGAATCCTACCACCGGTCATAAATCCCCTTTTTCAGGTAGGTTGTAACTTCAAATGGTTGCTAAGGGACCCGTTGTAAGTCAAGAACTGCCGGTAGAGTAGAAATTCTGGCGACAAATTAGACTTTGAGGCAGGTTGGGTAGGTTAATCTGAGCTGGCCAATCTGCCCTTGTTGATGCCACCGTTGTTCTGTAGGAGAGAGGCTAAAAGAAAAATCTGTTTCTGTACTTAGCCGTTAAAATTCAGTTCTGTTCCCCTCATTCCAGTCTTGAAGAGGCACCAGCCTCATTCTAACTTTTTTTTAATACTTTTGCTTCCGCAGGAAAAGTGTCTAAATTTCTTGGCTTCTCTTGATCTCTCCAAGCTGCCTTGACTGGTCCAAAATGGACCAGTTCTCCAGGATATGGATGGTATAAGGGCTCCTGCCTTGAGCAGGGGGTTTGATTAGGAGACCTCCAAGGTCCCTTCCACCTCTTGGATTCTAGCCAAATATGGTTTTGAAAAGAAATGAAAAGAGAGAACATGAAAAAATGAGTTTCAGTAGATTGAGTAATAGCACTTAGCAATTGCACTTAGACATATATACCGCTTCACGGTGCTTTACAGCCCTCTCTAAGTGGCTTACAGAGTCAGCATATTTGCCCCCTAACAATCTGGGTCTTCGTTTTACCGACCTTGGAAGGATGGAAGGCTGAGTCAACCTTGAACCGGTCAGGATCGAACCCCTGGCAATGAGCAGTGAGTTAGCCTGCAATATTACATTCTAACCAGTGAGCACCATGGAAGGAAGGAAGGAAGGAAGGAAGGAAGGAAGGAAGGAAGGAAGGAAGGAAGGAAGGAAGGAAGGAAGGAAGGAAGGAGCGATAGCACTAGCAATGGCGCTTAATACTTATATGCCACTTCACAGTGTTTCACAGCCCTCTCTAAGCGGTTTACAGAGTCAGCCTGTTGCCCCCAACAATCTCAGTCCTCATTTTACCAACCTGGCAAGGATGGAAGGCTGAGTCAACCTTGAGCCGGTCAGGATCGAACTGCTGACAGCCGGCAGTCAGCAGAATTAGCCTGCAGTACTGCATTCTAACCACTCCGCCACACGGCTCCTAATAAGAATGAAAGTGTTGTGTTGGAATCAACAACTGGCAAATTACAGATGGTTGGTTTGTTGACTTGATGGGTCTTTGACCTTCTTAATTTCCCGAAAAGTTCTGATCCTTTGAAACCTAAGAAGTTTCAATCATGCTTTCTCCACAGGGATTGTCCAGGACGAGCAGAATCTATACATCTTCCTGCTGATCTGTGGACTAAGGAGAGTCAAAGATCCTCTTTATCTACTGGATGTTTTTTCAGGTCAAAATTTTCCCATCCAACCTCTTACGATACATTTGGCATGGATGACATTCCCTCCCCCCCAAAAATGGACATCTTTTTGAATGACTGGGAGGCATAATTTGAGGAGGCAGGGGGCCTGGAATGTGACGAATACAGCTGTTGTGTCCATCTGACCATAGTTTGGGTTTTCTACATATTTTTGTGGGTTCATAAGATCATTTGGGGAGGCGAATTCTAGACTTTGCTTTTTTATGGCCTCGCGTGCTATCTCGGTGCTATGAACCGTTATGACCCAGGTGTCCCAAAGGCGCTTTTTCAGGAGGCAACTGGACTTTCTTGTTTTCTTTTGAAGATGTTTCACTTCTCATCCCAGAAGCTTCTTCAGCTCTGACTAGATGGTGGGCGAGTGGAAGGATTTATACTCCTTGCAGATTGCTGGTCATTTGCATCCTTTTAGAGAGTCGTTGAGGCCATTTGGGGATTTACCTGTGTCCTCAGGGTCACCTGAGTGGTGCAAATGGGTGTGGAGCCTTCTTGGCTGTAGGACATTTTCTTCCCTGAGTCCCTTCACAGTTGCCTCCTGAAAAAGCATCTTTGGGAGAACCATACCTGGATAACTGAGAATCTCCATAGACATTAATGACCCAGGTGGTCAAGCCAAGGTAGGCCTTTATTGCTCTCAATAAATGCCGGTGGCCCTCCAGTGACCAGTAAAGGTTCCAGCCCCAGGCTACTCTGCAGGTAGCCACTCTCAGTCCCCCAAATAACAGCCCCCATAGTACAAGGAAAGCCCACAGAGTAGGAGCACGCTCACAGGGCAAGGTCCAGGGTTCCAAGTCCAGTCCACAAGGCAGGGTCCAGATACAAGTCTAGGGCAATCCTTGGGGCAAAGAAAAGGCCCAAGACCAGAAGCCATTCCAAAGGCCTGATGTGCAGGTTCTGAGGTTTTGCTGGTTAAAGAAATACAGGAAACTAGAAGTTGCCTTCAAGCTTACGTGTTTATTCAGCTGAATGGAGACGGACTCCTCTAAATGAGAGAAGCCCCGAATGACCAAGAAATCCTTGTATTTATTCTTTCTCATTACATAAGCAACCCATCCAGCAAAGCTGACACACATAAGAGAAAGATTTCACCCAGTAAGTCTGGCACACTGTAGATAAGAAGGGAGAAAGCAGAAGTAGCTAAACATGTTCCCATTTGAGTGTTCCCTAAAGATATCGTATGTTCTCGGGTGGGTTAGGACATTGGGTGTTGTCCTTGCTGTCCTTTCCTGACCCTGCATCCAGGACTTTGCAAGTGACCAGAGAGAGAGAGAGGCCATCTGTACGTATTCATAAGTCCTGGTCATCAGGCCCAGCGAAGCAAAGGCCAAACGCAGTCCACAAGACAAGGCAAGGTCCAATGCAAAAGGCGAAGAGTCATCTTCCAAGCGAGTCAAAGCCGGGAAGAGTGTAAACCAAAGCAAACACTTATTCCTGGCAAAGACCCACTCCCCACGGCTTCTCCTTAAGTTGCTCCCCTCCAGGTGTTCCTTGTGAGGAGGGGTGGGGTGACCTCGTCCCAAGTAGCCTTGTAGCCCTTTTTTGAGCTTGCCTATGCTCTGTTCTCCATGCCCTTGGATCAGTGGAGGAGGCAGCTGTTCCTCATCAGAGGGGATCTGCTACCTATCAGTCCAGTTGCCTGTCAGCAGCCAATCCTCCCTTGTGTCTGTGAAGGCAGGCAGATCTCCATCTGGTCAACCACCTCTTCCAGTGCTTGAGGGCCTGGGACAGCATCATCTTCAGCCCCTGGACTCTCCAAATATGTCAAGAGAAGTGTGTCGTCCTTGTCGGACGGTCCAGGTTCCAACTCCTCTTCTTCCGCTGCACTGGGTTCCGATGGGGCCATAACACTAAGAGCCTCCCAGAGTCTCTGGTATTGGTGAGATGGGCAGCAAAATAAATTTAATCGATCAGTTAAAAAATAAATTGAGCCACTTTTCTTTGAGGACTGAGAATACACAGGACTCTTGGTTAATAAAATGATTTTAGATAAGACAGATTGAACACCTGATCATCTTTGTGTTGAAGGAGATGACTGGGCACCAACAATCATCTCTTTAATTGATCACATTCAATTAAAATTAATTACATTGATTGGTCCATTTGCTCATCAGACAACTCTGCATTCTCCAGGTTCATCCATCCATTTATTCATTTCAAGCAAATGACTCTGGGTACCAAACGTTCCTCAAACAATTAAAAAGAAAGAGTTACAGTAGAGCACAAAATTAAATATATAGGGCAGCCGAGAGAAAAAAAAAGTCATTATAGGTGTCAATGTAGCCAGAAAACAGGGCCTTCATACTTAGATTGACTCTACGTTGGTGTAGTAAACAGTTTGCTAATCAAACGAGGTATAGATCTTAACTAGTTGGTCATGGAGATTTAGTTAAGGAATTACGCGGACTTCAGAGGCTGAGAGAAGCTAAGAGATGCCAACAGCTGGTTGAAATATTCAAAAAGGTTCCTCAACCATTTGGGTCGAATGTTTCTGTAGGCATCTGCTGTATCTTCTCACCTCAGCTGGACTTCATCCTGCACCATGAAGGTCCATCTGCCACCAGTTATTGTCAGTCAACGTTATCATGCTTTAGTCTCAGATTAAGTTTAGTCTAACCAGAATTCTCTCCTGTTCAATTGATAGAGTGGCATCAGGAAGACTCCAGGGTACACCTGATCATTATTGGACCTGCTGTAAGTTCTCTCCATGTCTCATCACCACTATCATGAACTCCATCCCCCAGGTTCCTGGTTGTCCTCTCCTTCTCTTTCTTTCTACCTTTCCCAGCATTAAGCTTTTTAAAAAAGAGCCAAGTCTGTGCGTAAGATTTTTTTTCCCCATGTTATTTATTTACTTAGTTGTACCCACCTTTGTTATTTTTACTCAAGGCAGCAAACATATCCAACACAACTTTCTCCTCCTATTTTCCCCATAACCACAAGCCTGTGAGATGAGCTGCATTAGGAGGGAGAGAGAGACTGGCCCAAGGTCACCCAGTTGGCTTTCGTGCCTAAGGCGGGACTAGACATCCCAGTCTCCTGGTGACTGGCCCCAGTTGGCTTTAGTGCCTACTGCAGGACTAGAATTCCCAGTCTCTTGGTTACTAGGCCCCAGTTGGCTTTCATGCCTAAGGTAGGACTAGAATTCCCAGTCTCCTGGTGACTGGTTCCAGTTGGCTTTCATGACTAAGGTAGGACTAGAACTCACAGTCTCCTGGTGACTGGCCCAAAGTCACCCAGTTGGCTTTTGTGCCTAAAGTAGGACTAGAACTCCCAGTCTCCTGGTGACTGGCCCAAAGTCACCCAGTTGGCTTTCATGCCTAAGGCAGGACTAGAACTCACAGTCTCCTGGTGACTGGCCCAAAGTCACCCACTTGGTTTTCATTCCCAAGGTAGGGCTAGAACTCACAGTCTCCTGGTTTCTCGGCTGGCACTTTAACCACTAGACCAGATGGCCACTCTTAAGGTGCCCCAAGTAGGATACCTTTCCTGTTTTATCCCCTTGTCTTGATAAAACTCCGCTTTTATTTCCACGTCGAACCCTTTTTCTTCCCGCTTGGCTACGGAGCGTATTCCCCCCCCCCTGTTCACTGTATCTTTCCGTTCCGGTTCATTGCAAGCTTTGAAAGGGAACTGGCGTGGAAGGGAAGATTGTGTAAAGGTACATCATCTGAATGTGTTCTTTTCCCGGCTTCTGATGCCTCCCTGCTTAGTCGAGACTTCAGGCAGTCGGCTTGTCAATTTTTATCTGCCTCAGTTTCCTCCCAAACGAGTTGTGGAAACTGCCAGAGGGGTCTTGCCAGGATGTTACGCATCCGGGGAAAAAAACAAACTCCCTCAAATTCTCTGTCTTTCCGAGCATAGTCCTGCTTGTCAGGGGCAGGTCGGTTGTTGGAAAGGAGAAGGAAGACGTTTTGGAGAAAAACAGGAATAAAAGAGCAAAGTTTTACTCCTCCAATTAGAGCATCAGACACCAATTACTCTGACATGAATGTTGGCCTGGTAGATGTTTGTTTTTGAAAGGCCCGATTTTGGCAGCCTTCCTCTGAGCGAGCAAGTTCTTCTGACTCCTTTGATTGTATTTTCGCAATCTGGAGCTGAGTTTTCCTGGCGTGCAATCATTTGTGCGTTCCCCTCTTTTTTTTTTGTCTTCCCTGCTGTAGGCTGATCCAACCTTTGCGAAAGAAGTCGAGGAGAAGGTGAAGAGGTAGGTTGCTCTGATATGATAAGGAGATTATTGGGGGGTTTTTTCTCCCTAAGGAAACCTGGGTTTATTTTCCTGAATTTCCTACTACACCAACCTTCTCTAATCTACTCTCCTGCAGAGGTTTGGAAGTACGATGTTGAGGGCCTCAGGAATCTTCATGCTACGATCCTTCCTTCCTTCCTTCCTTCTTTCCTCTCTCCTCTCTCTTCTGCCCTTCCTTTCTCCCTCTCCTCCCTCCTTCCTTCCTTCCCTCCCTCTCTCCTTCCTTCGTTGCTTCCTTCGTTGCTTCCTTCCTTCCTTCCTTCCTTTCCATCCTCTCCTTCCTCTCTCCTCTCCCCTCTTCTTCCTCTCCCTCTCTTCCTCCTGCCCTTCCTTTCTCCCTCTCCTCCCTCCCTCCTTCCTTCCCTCCCTCTTCTTCCTTCCTTACTCTGCTCCATCCTCTCCCTCCTCTCCTTCTCTCCCTCTCTCCTTCCTTCTTCCTTTTCTTCCCTCTCTCCTCCTTTCCTTCCTTCCCTCCCTCCCTCCCTCCCTCCCTTCCTCTCTTCTCTCCATCCCTGCTCTCCTCTTCTTCCGCTCCTCCCTCCCTTCCTCTCTCCTGCCCTTCCTTTCTCCCTCTCCTCCTTCCCTTCTTTCCATCCCTTTTTCTCCTTCCTTCCTTCCTTTTCCTCCCTCTCACCTCCTTTTTTCCTTTCTTCCCTCCCTCCCTCCCTCCCTCCTCTCTCCTCTCCCTCCCTACTCCCTTCCTCTCTTCCTTTCTCCCTCTCCTCCCTCCCTCCCTCCCTTCTTCTCCTTCCTTCCTTCCTTCCTTCCTTTGCCACCCATCACACTCTTCAAAGCAATTCTGGGGGGCTTACAGTGGTTTCAGTTGTCACTGAAATGTTGAGCAACCAAAGAATACCTTGGCTGCCCAGGCACTTGGCGTTTGAGAGAGAGGCCTTGTGGTACCACGCCCATTAGATATGATCACCCTTTCCAGCTCTGAAGCCATTGAAACTTTCCAGGTCCGAAGAAACGCCTGCGAAGGGGAACACGTCTTCCTCTGCAGAAGAAGTCGCATCCTGGGATCCCGTGTCCGCTAGGCCTGCTCATCCTCTAATGAAGTCCGCTTTGATGCCGGGAGAGCGGGAAGCGTCAAGAGTTTCAGATTTAGCTCGCTCGAGAATCTCCATCGATTTGAATTTGAGGTTACGAAGAAGGCAGAATCAGAAATAGCAGCGTTTAGACCAGTGGTTCTCAACCTTTTTAATGCCGCGACCCCCAACCGGTCGTAAGTCAAGGACTAAACCGGTCATAAGTCGAGGACTAAACCGGTCGTAGGTCGAGGACTACCCAACCGGTCGTAAGTCGAGGACTTTCCCTGCCCGGGAGCGCTGCACATGCGTGGTTCCGCCCCCTGTGCCGGCCGAGGCGTAGCTGGCAAGCGGCAGAGACGGAGCAGGCCGACCACCAGCTGGCCCAGCCCAAGGGAGGTAAGGCACCCGCCGGAAAAGGGGGAAAAAATGGCGGACAGTCTTGCTTGGCGACCCCTGTGAAATGGTCGCTCGACCCCAAATGGGGTCGTGACCCATAGGTTGAGAACCGCTGGTTTAGACTCTTCTGTAGTCTTCTGTAGAGAAGAGTAATTAAAATTGAATATTCCCTCTTCCCCCTGGAATTGGGAATTGCATTGCAATGTATCTGGAAGGCTAGGTAAGGCTACCTTCGCACGGGACCAGTTAGTCTTTAAGTCACCTATTCCTACTTTCCCCAAGAGAGAGCAAGCACATCCCGACTAAGCTGACCTTGTTGAAATAGGTTGGATCCACGCTTCAGCTCTTCACATTTGCGGCCCAGCCTCAGGGGAAACCGTCTCAGTTCCGTGTCATGCTTCACAACATGCCCTCTAGATTCTCTCCAGGAGACGGCTTAAAAAAATGGGTGGATAAATAATTAAAATAAATGAAATCACAGTTGACCTCTTCCAAGGACAAGCGTTCGGAAATTAAGAACTGCAGGACTCGGTTTAAAACAACAACAACAAAAAAAGTTAACAGCTTCAGGAAAGTTCGGTTGGACATTCCCCCCCAAAAACCCCCATTTTAAAAAAACACACATTTACACAAAGCTTAAAATCATGGGAGAATTGGCAGTTCTCCCCCAAAACAAGATGCTGATTATTGATTACTGTTTGCTGAGCTGGCCTACCTGAAGGAATTGCTCCCTTGGCAGGGACTTCCCACAGACAATTATGGAATATCATCAATCAATCTTAGGGAATTCCTTTCCTTTTTTTAAAAGAGGATGAAACGCAATGGAAACTAATATACATTAAGAGAAAGAAAGAGAGAAAGAAAGGAAGGAAGAAAAAGAAAGAAAGAAAGAAAAAGAAAGAAAGAAAGAAAAGACAGCCTGACAGAGTCTTTAGTGGATTGATCACCAAGGAAGGAGGGAAGGAAGGAAGGAAGGAAGGAAAAAAGAAAGAAAGAAGAAAAGCCAGCGTGACAAAGTCTTTTTTAGTGGATTGATCACCAAAGAAGGAGGGAGGGAGGGAGGGAGGGAGGGAAGGAAGGAAAGAAAGAAAGAGAAAGAAAGAAAGAAAGAAAGAAAGAAAGAAAGAAAAAAGAAAAAGAAAAGCCAGCCTGACAAAGTCTTCTTTAGTGGATTGATCACCAAGAAAGGAAGGAAGGAAAAAAGAAAGAAATAAGAAAAGCCAGCCTGACAAAGTCTTTTTTAGTGGATTGATCACCAAGGAAGGAAGGAAGGAAGGAGAGAGAGAGAGAGAGAGAGAGAAGCCAGCCTGACAAAGTCTTCTTTAGTGGATTGATCACCAAAGAGGGAGGGAGGGAGGGAGGGAGGGAGGGAAGGAAGGAAAGAAAGAAAGAGAGAGAAAGAAAGAAAGAAAGAAAGAAAGAAAGAAAGAAAGAAAGAAAGAAAGAAAGAAAGAAAGAAAAGCCAGCCTGACAAAGTCTTCTTTAGTGGATTGATCACCAAGGAGGGTAGGAAGGAAGGAAAGAAAAGAAAGAAAGGAAAAAATGAAAGACCGAACAAGAATCGAATTCATTTCATTTGCATCACAAAAAGGTCCTCAGTTCTCAGAACAAGGCCAGAACTTTAGAAACCGCACAATCTTCTCTGTTGTCCATGGGAGAGGAACCGAGAGCAGGAAACACACAGGGAACAATCTGATGGAATCCCTTCTCTCTTCCGTCCTAGCTATCATGGCCAACGGGCAGAGGGTGGGAGTTACCGGTAGTCCTCAACTTAAGATCCTTCCTTCAACGACCATTTGAAGTCGTGACAGTCAGGACTGGTCTTCTCACTTAGGACCTTTGCGATATTTCCCGCCATCACGTGATTAAAATCCGGATGCTCGGCCACTGGCATGGACATGCGACAGTTGCAGCCTCCTGGGGTCCCACTGATCACCATTTGCAAGCTTCCTACAAGCAAAGTGAATGAGGAAAAGCTGGATGTGTATGGTTTTCTGGATGCCGTCGGGGAAAAAAAGGGTCGTAAATTCAAGCACGACTCGCTTAATGACCTCCTAGTTAGCAAGGAAACTTCTGGTCCCAATTGTGACAGTAAGGGGAGGACGTCCCCTGCCGGCCATCCATTGGAAGAGGATTAACAAGCTGAATTTACTCCCTAGGGCAGCTGGGGTCCACTTATTGCCAGCCATCCGCCAGGAAGATCTTCACGCCGTTATGGAAAACTGTTTTGCCGTTGTTAACAGTTCTGTATCCGAAGGGATGTCAGCTGCAATTTTAGAGGTAATTCCTTCCTTACTTCCAGGGAGGGGAGGGAACTGTGTTGGGCATTCCTCTTGGAAACCTCTGTCCTGCTTCTGTTGATGTTCCTCAACTCTTAAAAGACGTAGAACATAGAATGATAGGGTGGGAGGTCATCTAGTCCAAGCAGGAGATCCTATCCCATTTCAGACATATGGCTGTCCAGTCTCTTCTTAAAAACCTCCAGTGTTGGAGCACCTACAACTTTTAGTGACAAGTGGTTCCACTGAATAACAGAATAACTGAGTTGGAAGGGACCTTAGAGGTCTTGTAGTCCAACCCTCTGCTCAAGCAGGAGACTCTATGCTATTTCAGTGGCTGCCCAGTCTCTTCTTAAAAACTTCCAGTGTTGGAAAACCCACAACTTCTGGTGGCAAGTTGTTCCATTGATTAATCTTACTGCCAGGAAATTTCTCCTTAATTCCAGGTTGCTTCTCTCCTTGATAACTTTCCATCCCTTGCTTCTTGTCCTGCCTTCAGGGGCTTTGGAGAAGAGGCCAACCTGTTCGAACCCCTCAAACATTGGAAGAATGCTATTATGTAACCCCCTAAGTCTTATCTCTGTTAGACTACCCTGTTCTTTCAAATATTCATTGTTTAGCCTCCAGACTCCTTATCACCTTCATTGCTCTTCAAACAGGCAAAGATTTTTTTTTGGTCAAACAGACAAAGCTGTTTGAACTGTTCTGTGAAATTGACTAATGATGCTGAGGCATTTGCACACCCGTTTGGTCTGTTGACTTGGATCCTCATGGAGATTCAGAATACAAACACACATTCACACAGAGGAAGGGAGGGGGGGAGAGAGAGACAGAGAGAGAGAGAGATGGAGAGTGAAAGAGAGAGACGGAGAAAGAGAAAGAGATAAAGACAGAGAGAAAGAGTGGGAGAGAGACACAGTGAGAAAGAGAGAGAGAGACAGAGAAAGCAAGAGAGAAAGAGAGAAAGAGACTGAGAAAGAGCGGGAGAGAGATGAGAGAAAGAAAAAGACACAGAGAAAGAGAGACACAGAAAGAGAGACACAGAAAGAGAAGGAGAGAGACAGAAAGAGAGCGGGAGAGAGACAGAAAGAAAGAAGAGAGAGACAGAGACACAGAGAAAGAGAGACACAAAGAGAAAGAGACAGACAGAGCGGGAGAGAGACGGAGAGAGAGAAAGAAAGAGATAAAGACAGAGACACAGAAAGAGAGACACAGAGAAAGAGAGACACAGAAAGAGAAAGAGAGACAGAAAGAGCGGGAGAGAGAGACGGAGAGAGAGAAAGAAAGAGATAAAAACAGAGACACAGAAAGAGACACAGAGAAAGAGAGAGAGACCGAAAGAAAGAGGGAGAGAGAGACAGAGAAAGAGAAAGAGAGTGGGAGAGAGACAGAGAGAGAGAGAGAGGGAGAGAGAGAGAGAGATTGTGACTGCAGCAGACTGGAAATTCTGCTGTCTAATAAAGCCCCTGAATGAAGCCCACCATGTAGTGTTTAAATCAACCCTATTATTAAAAGTCAGTTCTGATTTAGTCTGGCAATTACAAGCAGGAGAGGCCAATCCACTGCTGATTTATTGGTCTCATCCTCCCCCAGATTATACGAAACTGCTAAATAGCTCGCTTCGCTGTGAATACCTCAAAGCTGGGGTGCCGGGAGAAAAGTTTTTAAAAAGCAAGCAAGAAGAAGAAAACAAGTAACAAAAAAAAAGAGCAGAGGTTCCCACTTCCTTTTCACGATCTTCAAAAAGGTCAGAAAAAAAAATCTCTTTGGATTTCCTACCAGAGAAGTTGAAAATCAAATTCAGGAAGGTTCGGATAAAGTGAAAAACCCTTTTGGGGCTCGACTCCCCTCTTTAAACAAGACCCCGAGGAGTGAAGGTGCCGTTTGGAAAAAGAAATAATTGAGAACCACATCGGCAGCCTCAAGATTCTCCTGTGGAAAATTGCAGCTGAAAAAACAAAAAATCGATGGAAGTCGGCTTTGAAATGCAATTCCTTTTCCTCTCTCCCACTTTCTGTTGACGCTCCAAAGCCTTTTAATTTAGCCCATTCATTGCTGGATGGCCTGGCCTGAAGTTGTAAAGATTTAAGCTACTTCACTTTTCTGGTTTATGTTTCCTTTCTTGGGAGATCCAGGCACGGTTCTCCCGAAAGAAGAAGAACCACAAAACAACAGAATAACAAGAGTTGAAAGGGACCTTGGAGGTCTTCTAGTCCAACCCGTGCTCAAGCAGGAGACCCTATACCAGGGGTAGGCAACCTTGGCTCTTTTATGACGCATGGACTTCAACTCCCAGAATTCCTGAGCCAGCATGGCTCAGCTTAGAAACCTCTCCCTTTCCCCTCAGCGTGGCTGGCTCAGGAATTCTGGGAGTTGAAGTCCATGAGTCATCAAAGAGCCAAGGTTGCCTACCCCTGTTCTAGGCTGGTGTTTCTCAACCTTGGTAACTCTAAGATGGGTGGACTTCAACTCCCAGAATTCCTGAGTCAGCATGGGGGAACTATGACCCCCTCATGACTTGTGGACTTCAATTCCCAGAATTCCTGAGCCAGCATGGCTCAGCATGGAAACCTCTCCCTTTCCCCTCAGCACGGCTGGCTCAGGAATTCTGGGAGTTGAAGTCCACGAGTCATGAGGGGGCCATAGTTCCCCCATGCTGGCTCAGGAATTCTGGGAGTTGAAGTCCACGAGTCATAAAAGAGTCAAGGTTGCCTACCCCTGCCCTATACTAGTTCAGATAAAAGGCTGTCCAGTCTCTTCTTAAAAACCTCCAGTGTTGGAGCACCCACATCTTCTGGAAGCAAGCCGTTCTACTGGTTAATTGTTCTCACTATTGACATTTCTCCTTAGTTCTAGGTTGCTTCTCTCCTTGATTAGTTTCCATCCATTGTTTCTTGTGTTGCCCTCCAGTGCTTTGGAAAATAAGTTGTCCCTCTCTTCTTTGTGGCAGCCCCTCCAATATTGGAAGACTCATATCATGTCACCCCCTGGTCCTTCTCTTCACTAGACTAGCCATGCCCAGTTCCTGTAACCGTTCTTCATATGTTTTAGTCCCCTAATCGTCTTTGGTGCTCTTCTCTGCACTCTTTCCAGAGTCTCTACATCTTTTTTTATAATATGGGGAGATTAAGGGGTGATGTGAAGATGAAAAGGCCTGCACCTCTGTGGCTGCAGACTGCAAAATTCGGAAAGGACCAACTCTAAGCTTCCACGGTTTATGAAAAGATCCTGTCCTTTTAGATCCTGTCCAGCCACTGGAGAAGTGAATTAGCATCACAGCTCATAGAACATCTGTAACGTCAATTGCCCAAATCGTTAGCAGGGAGGGAGGGATTTCCCTTCTTCTGAAGTTCATCAAACAGAGTTGCTGGATTTTTTTTTTTTAAATAGGTCTGCCTTCATTTTTACATTTAATTTTTGCCCAGTTTCTCTTTAGACAATCTGGCTGACGTGGACAGTAAAGCAGCCACATCTCCTTAGAAAGGCCAAAGAAAGAAACAGGGCCTGTTTTAATTGGACCTGGTTCTCCTATCTAAAATGGCCAACAGGCAGAAATGCCATCTGTCCAATGCCCATTTCATTAACTAAGACCGCAGCTTGGCCTGGAAGGATGTAGATGGAACTGCAGCCCAAGGGGGTCTGGATGAGGAAAAATAAATAAGTGCTGCTTTGAACGCTTTTGATTAAAAAGAAGAAGAGGGAAGAAAGAATACAGATTTTTTTGTATTTGTCCAGCTTCTAGAGAACGGAGATATCTAAAGCCAGCTGGACAGAAACATTTGAACATGAACCAAGAAGAAAGTAATTCTGATAATAATAATAATAATAATAAGGGTGCCTTAGATTCTTGGGAAGAGCTTGAGGTGTGTGAAAGCCAACACCAGCTAAAGAACTGGCAGTTGTGACTTCGCATGGTGGCGAACCAACGTCGGGACCCAAGAACCAAGAAACACATAGAGTTACTTCTGAGCAAGTTTCCTCTGTGTTCCTCACCTTCAGACAGAATCTTGCCAGTCTAAAGCAACTATTTCCATCGCTAAAGATATGCTCTGAGAACTTCTCTTGGTCCTCTATGAGGCAGCCCCTCCCTCCTGGGAATCCAGACTACATTCCACCACATCAGATAATTTTACAGATAGAAAGTTCGGTCCTTATAATTTGGCCCTGGGGTTTAATATTGGGTCAAGAGGTGAAGGAACAAGGGGGAGAAAAATAACCCCCCAAAAAATCAACTGGCATTCTCTTATAGTTTGCTTCTGTCAGCTGTCACATTCTAGTGCAGTGGTGGCGAACCTATGGCACGTGTGCCAGAGGCGGCACTCAGAGCCCTCTCTGTGGGCACGCACGCCATGCCCCGGAGATGGCAACTGTCCCTCTTCAATCAGCTGCCCACTAACTCACCGAGGTCCCATGTGGCCGGATGCATCCCAGCATGGCTGGTTTCCCTCCCCCCCCCCCCCCCCCCCCCCCCCCCCCCCCCCCCCCCCCCCCCCCCCCCCCCCCCCCCCCCCCCCCCCCCCCCCCCCCCCCCCCCCGTCCCATCCCTCCTGGCCTTGCACGCTCTCCTTTTCCCAGGCACGACCCACTGCATCGCCTCCTCAGCTGTCGGCCGTCCGTCCAGCTCAGAGGCGGCTTCTCTGAACTGCTGGCGGCAGGCTGCGGAGCCCCAGAGTGCGCTGGTCGAGGGGCTGGCAGGCTGTGGCTGCTGACGGACACTGTCGGCCCCCATGCGCTGGCTGGCCTCTGTGTGCGGGGGCCGATGGTGTCAGGCAGCAGCCACCCTGGGCCCTGCCTCGCCTTGCCCTGCAACAATGGCACCCCTGCCCTGCCTCGCCTTGCCTCGTCTCACCCCACAGGACAAGCCTGCCCACCGCCCCACCTGCCAGACACCCCCCTGGATCTTCCCCAATCCTGCCCCACAGGCATCCCTCCCCACGAGCAACATCAAGGAGACCATGCCTACCTTGGCCACACCCACCCAGTCTGCCATGACCACCACAGCCACGCCCACCCACCTGGCACCCGGCGATACATAAGTGGGTTTTGGGTTGCAGTTTGGGCACTCGGTCTCTAAAAGGTTCGCCATCGCTGTGCTAGTGCATCCAAATTGCAGGTATTTTTAATCAACACAGTCATCTTGCTCAGGGAAAGGACAACTGCCTTAAAAGGCCCAGATATTTAGGGGCAGTAATTGCGTGCGGCATAATCCATTCGGGTAGGCTTGGCTGGTACAAAGCCAAATTTTTGCCTCCTGCCTTTGCCATCTGCCACCAGAGTTTCTGCCGATGTAATAGCAGGGTGTGGGTGTGCATGTATAAAACAAAACTCCCACCGATGAGTTAATCTTCTTAATCTTTTCTTTTTATTAAGGTCCCTCTTTTCCGCAAAAAGGGATCTCTCTCTCCCCAAAAGAGCTGATCGTTTCAGCTCCGCCCTCTTGTTATAGTCCTTGACTTACCACAGTTCGTTTAGTGACTGAAGGAAGCGCTGACGTACGACCGTTTTTCACACTTACGACCTTACAGCCTCCCCAAGCGATCAAAATTCACACGCTTGGCCACTGGCTCATATTTATGACATTGGCAGTCTTCCGGGGTCATGGGGTCACGTTTTTGCGAGCTTCTGACAAGCAAAGTCAATGGGAAAGCCAGATTCACTTAGCAATTGTGTCATTAATTTAACTCACATCAGAGTTCTCTGCAAGGTCTCAGTGGCAGCAAATGTGAGCCCTTTCTTTTCCGTGTAACAGGCAATGGACTTAAATGTTCCCGTGCTGGCAAGGAATATTCCAGGAAATGCTGCCGTAATTGTGCACCAAACAACTGGATTATTATATTCGACCCCTCAGGTAATAATTAAGCTAAAATACGTTGCATCCTATGTAGACCTGTTTGTCTGTCTGTCTCTATCTAGTTATCTAGCTAGCTATCTCATCTATCTATCTATCTATCTATCTATCTATCTATCTATCTATCTATCTATCGCTAGTTAGCTAGCTCATCTATCACTAGTTAGCTAGCTCTATCTATCAGCTAGCTAGCTCATCTATCTACAGTATATCTATCTAGCTCCTATCTATTATCTATAGCTAGCTAGCTTATCTATCTATCTATAGCTAGCTAGCTCATCTATCTATTATTGCTAGTTAGCTATCTCATCTTTCTATCTATCTATAGCTAGCTAGCTCATCTATCTATCTATCTCTCATCTACCGCTAGTTAGCTATCTCATCTTTCTATCTATAGCTAGCTAGTTCATCTATCTATCGCTAGCTCATCTATCTCTATCTATCTATAGCTAGCTAGCTAGCTCATCTATCTATCTATTGCTAGTTAGCTATCTTATCTTTCTATCTATCTATCTATAGCTAGCTAGCTCATCTATCTATAGCTAGCTAGCTCATCTATATCTATCTATCTCCTCTATCTCCTCTATCTATCTATTGCTAGTTAGCTAGCTCATCTATCTATCTATCTATCTATCGCTAGTTCATCTATCTCTATCTCATCTATCTATCGCTAGTTAGCTAGCTCATCTATCTATCTATCTATCGCTAGCTCATCTATCTCTATCTATCTATCTCATCTATCTATCGCTAGTTAGCTAGCTCATCTATCTATCTATCTATCTATCTATCGCTAGCTCATCTATATCTATCTATCTATAGCTAGCTAGCTCATCTATCTATTTATATCTATCTATAGCTAGCTAGCTCATCTATGTTTTATTGCTAGTTAGCTATCATCTTTCTATCTATCTATCTATAGCTAGCTAGCTCATCTATTTATCCATCTATCTATCTCATCTATCTATTGCTAGTTAGCTATCTCATCTATCTATCTATCTATAGCTAGCTAGCTCATCTATCTATCTATAGCTAGCTAGTTTATCTATCTATCTATCTATCTATCTATCTATCTATCTATCTATCTATCTATCTATCTACTGAATGATGCTGGATAAGAGAATGAAGTAATTTCATATTGGGAGCTGTCCATGACTTATAGTGCTGAAGCCAACTTGGGGGTTAAGCTTTCAATCGAGATCGAATTCTGCCTCTCCCCCCCCATAGCCTGCAGGATGTGTCACCTCCCAGATAATTTATAGCTCCACTACCGTAATGAAAACCTTGATCTTATTTGTGTTAAGCTTTTGAACCGTTTGTGGCACCCGGGTCACAGCTGCGAAAGTGCCTAAGCACTGAGATTTTAAGTCCTCTGTATGTACCCCATCTCCTAATTAACCAGAGTATGTTATTAAACTCAGAAAGGAGGATCTGGGGAAAGGGAGAAATTATGGGGGAATTAATCCTGTTGATCCCATAAATTAGATTTCTGTTCCCCATCAATAATCAGGTACGTGCAATAAGGCTATGCTTTTAAAGAATAAAACTGCAGACCCAGATTAAATAAAACCACAAAGTGGAAAATGCATTTTCTCCTTAAGCCTATTTTTTTTTTAAGCATGACGAATGCTGTTTAAGTATAGTCAGGGAGTTAGATGTTCCGTTTTCATTAGTCTTTGGTGTAACTAACCCCTTCTCAAAATATATATTGGGCTTAACACGTTCCTCCCCAGAGTCAGGTGTCTCCCGCAGTGTTCAGGAATGAATCTTTTTTGTTATAAGTTACAGCAGGTTTTTCTTGAACCAGAACATTATTATTATTATTATGTTTTTAATGTGTCCGTGAGTCCCGTGGGTGAAGACCAGAGAGAAAACAATATCTTACTTCAGATTTTGAAGGTGTTTTTTTTGTTTTTTGTTTTGCAAATTGTCCTGGGAGTTGTGTTCTTCTTGATCTGTTTTATGATCACAGTTGGTGTTGGGTGAGATGGTGAGGTTCAAGAACCTCTGAGGATGTTAGGCAGGGCAAGTATGATCAATCTCCTGCCAAGATCCACTATTAACAGCTAAGTATTTTCTTTTAACACACACACACACACAGAGAGAGAGAGAGACAGACAGACAGAGACTTTGCTTCTTCCATTCTTTTATCGTCTCTTTGCTTCTTCCATTCTTTTATCAGTCAGAAGAAATGGAAGCAATAACTCCACCAATATGACCAATGTAACCAACCTGGTTACATCATGAATGCTAGAAGGGAGTGGGGTTTACGGATTAGAGGAGGCGGAGGACAAGGGGAGGGAGAGGAAGAGGAGGAGGACTGTGAGGTCCTTGGTGCTTTCTGATCTTGGTTGTTTCCTTGCCAACATTTCATTGCCCAACTAGGGAACATTACCCGTGATGTTACCTGGTGACGTTACCTAGTTGGGTCATCAAGAAAAGCATTAAGCTCAGAGAACACCAAGGATCCTACACGTTTAACTGTTACTTTGGGTTTTGGAAAACCTTGTGTCAATGCTGCAAATACTGTATATTCTTGCTTTGACAATATGCAGAACTGTCTGGTATTTATATAGTTAAACCAGCAACTGGGAAAGAGGGAGGAGCATAAGGATAGCCCGAAAGAAACCGGAAGTAAATCACATCTTCCAAGTTGATTGGAAGATGTGAACCATGACCCCAAAATAAGGGAGTGGGAAATGCTTAAAATGTATATGTGTAACGGAAGAGAAGCCAGACCTAAGCATTTCCACCATGCTGTACTGATGTCTCTGTAACCTTAATAAATGCTTTTAGGAAAAATATGCCTGAAAGTCCTTTTAAGTGTTTCGTTAATCAGACACTTGACACCTTGTCGGGAAATCTTCTGGTAGAATATGAGTCTGGCATCTGCTTCCTAACCTGGTGTACCTTGAAAGCAAGGCAGAAAGCTTTCTTAAGACCTTTTGAGAAGCACCACCACAGAAGACTACTAATAATGGCCCACTCCATACTCTTTCTTTTCAGGAATTTGTCCAGCTGGCCAGAACTTTGATTAAGGACCCACTTTTGCACAAAGAGATTATAAGAAAGGCACACGAATATGTCCTGAAGCATCATTCATGGGAGAAAGAAAGGAAGGTCTATCAGAACCTTGTTTTGAAGCTTCATGAAGGTTCTTGTATCAAACAACCATGAGTTACCAACCACCATGGTCAACCAGGTTTTCGTCATCTTAATCATCTGAGTCGTCTTCATTAAAGTTATTACTATTGTGATTTTGTAGATTTTGTTCTCCTTGAGAGTCAAAAGGCATATAGTAGATTTTTACAGCCTGGCAGCCTCCAGAAACATGGGACTTCTGTTCCCATAATCCCCTACCAGTCATTACCAAAGGACTATGGGAACTGACCTCAAACACATTATAGAACTCCAAGTTGGGAAAAAGAATCCTAAAGATACAATCAATCTAACGTTTATTGTTGAGTGGAAACACTTTATAGATTTTTTACATGAAGCATAAGAAATTGAATTTATGATGTATGGTTGGGATGATTAGAAAGAATAGATTATAGGAAAAAATAGTTATGGTGTAGCCTGCAGAGCAAGGGGTAAATTTATAATTTTTCTTATAAATGATGTAGTAAAGAAAATTGGAAGTTATTTCTATATATTTTCTTTCACTCTTTGCTTTTTAGTTCTTTCTTTGATATTGCATTATTCTTTCTTTCTTTCTTTCTTTCTTTCTTTCTCTTTCTCTTAATCTAAAAATTCTTAATAAAATTGTATGCGTCAAAACCGTATGCATATAGTGCATTAAACAAAACAATCTGTCTGAATGATAGTGGATGATTGAGGTTACAGTAACAAATAGTGAATATCTGCATTATTTGAGGTGATTTCACCTGCATCTGTACATAGATATCCAGATACTCAATTATGGAAATCTAGAGCATTCTATGAACCCCCATCTGGAAAAAGTGAATTAAGCATCAACCCCAACAAAATTATTCGACTCTTTGCTGCGATGGATTTACAGCTCGTTAATTTCACACAACTCCAGAAGAGCAGAACTCAAATTTAAACCTAGTCAGCCAGTTTTAAATTTGCAGCTGTTTCCAGGCAGAAAGAACGAAAGAAAAATTACAACTTTAAAGGGTGTTTTTTTTTTTTAAAAGGAGTTGCTTGTCTCAGTACAAAGAAGGGAGATGAAAAAAAAATTTAATTTCCTCTTCTTGTCAGCTGGAGTTGCAGGGGTAGTTTTACACATACGCGCGCGCACACACACACACAAACTCCATTCCCTGTAGTGGGTAATAAATGAATTGGGCTCTATTGGTCCAAAATAGCCAATAAAAAAGATGCTTCCGTCTTGAAAGCAAAACTAGATAAATGCTACGTATCAGAGACGGTCTTTTGATGATCTCCTGCTGGTAACACAGTGAGAACGCGGGCAGGGGAGGCGAAGACAACTCAACACATCTGTTGAGCAAAGATCATCGTTAGCCCGACTGATTTTATTTATTTATACATTCCTGGGGAACAGTAGATACCTCCAAATGCAACCAGATTTCAGCTGTGTTTTCTGAGCAATGCTAGCTTTCTGGAAATTCATTTGTATTGGTTACGTAGAGCGATTTCTTTGGTGTATTATTCTCGAATTTTAAAACCCCTTAATCATGACCGTTGTTCGACACCCGTTCCTATGACTTGTCTCTCACCCCCCCTTCCAAAAAAAGCAATTAAAGGAAGACCTTTTGGCCCATAAATCTTAGCAGAAGCGTGATTCATTTTTCTTTCACAGTAATGCTGAGGGGGGTTTGGTTGTTGTTTTTTACACTTGCAAACAAAACCTTTCTGTTGTTTTTCTGTTGCTTCGATAAACCCCACCGATCTTGGCCTTGTGTGTTCAAATGTTCGTTGGAATATGCTGATGAAAAGAAGGATGAGGGGTGACGGGATAGCGGTCTTCCAATATTTGAGGGGCTGCCCCAAAGAAGAGAGGGTCATGTTCTCCAAAGCACTTGAAGGCAGGACAAGAAGCAAAGGATGGAAACTCATCAAAGTAAACAACGAGAGATGTTGAGACTTTGGGGAAAAAGTGCAAAGAAGAGTAACTAAGATGATTAAAGGCCTGGAGATTAAAACATATGAAGATTTGGGTATGGCCAGTCCAGATAAAAGAAGGACTAGGGGGGACATGATAGCAGTCTTCCAGTATTTGAGAGGTTGCCCCAAAGATGAAGGGGTCAACTTATTCTCCAAAGCACCAGAAAGCAAGACAAAAAACAACGCATGGAAACTCATCAAGGAGAGAAGCAACCTGGAATTAAGGAGAAACTTCCTAACACTGAGGACAATAAACCAGTGGAACAACTTGCCACAGGAAGTTGTGGGCGCTCCATCACTGGAGGTTGTTAAGAACAGACTGGACAGTCACTTGTCTGAGATGGTGTAGGTTCTCCTGCTTGAGCAGGGGGGGGGGGTTGGACTAGAAGACCTCCAAGGTCCCTTCCAGCTCTATTACAGGTAGTCCTCGATTTACAACAGTTCATTTAGTGACCGTTCAAAGTTCCAACGTCACTGAAAAATGAGACTTGGGATCATTTTTCACACTTAACGACCGTTGCATCCTTCCCATGGTCACGTGATCAAAATTCAGACAATCGATTCATACTTAACGACGGTCACAGCATCCTGGGATCGTGTGATCGCCTTTTGCGACTGTCGGACAAGCAAAGTCAATGGGGAAGCCAGATTCACTTAACAACCGGGTAACTGACTTAACAACTGTGGTGATTCACTTAACAACTGTGACAAGAAAGGTTGTAAAAGGGGTCATAAAATTCACTTAACAACTGGCTCACTTAACAACAGAAGTTTGGGCTCAATTGTGATTGTACGTTGAGGATTACCTGCATTCTAGTTCTTCTCTAAGCTGGTTTTTCAGTTGGACTAGAGCTCCCATCTTCCACAGCCAGTAATGGTTATGTGATGCCATCATTTGCTATTTTCAAAATTTGTGGCTGGCAAAGAGTTAGTGGGAGACTAGTATAGCTATTTCAGGCTCATTAGCCCTCATCAGCTAGTCACCAGGGATTCAAACCTGGGCAGCTTGCATTTTAGCCAGCTGTATTACCCTTTTGAGCCACAGGTTTCCCCTTACTCCTGTCTCCTTACTAGTCTCCCACTAACCCTTTGCCAGCCACAAAATTTTGAATTTATACTGTTCACAGTATGTGACGTCTGCCTGCAAAACATGCTCCTAGATTAGAGCGAAACGCAGAACAGACTGATTTATATTTGGTAGACCGGGTTCCTCACCCGATAGATAGATAGATAGATAGATAGATAGATAGATAGATAGATAGATAGATAGATAGATAGATAGATAGATAGATAGATAGATAGATAGATAGATAGACAGATAGACAGATAGACAGATAGACAGATAGCTAAAGAGCTTGAAATAGCTATACTAGTCTCCCTTTAACTCTGTCAGTCACGTGTGTGTGTGTGTGTGTGTATCCAAATTTCTTTTTCTGACAAAGAGTTAAAGAATTAAATTGGGAGACTAATTTAATTCTTTAACTCTTTGTCAGAAAAAGAAATTTGGATTTGTAAATGTTTCGCAGTTGCGACTTGAGCCTGCTTATCGCCCCTAGTTGGGGGCTGCAAGGCAAAAGAGATTGTAAAAAGTAGAACTGCAGTATAGCAGTCAAAATGCCAAGGTGTAATCAATCAGACCGGTCTGTCTGAAAAACTTCCTGTATAGGTAGGTAGGTAGGTAGGTAGGTAGGTAGGTAGGTAGGTAGATAGATAGATAGATAGATAGATAGATAGATAGATAGATAGATAGATAGACAGACAGACAGACAGACAGATGACATAGGTAGGTAGTTAGGTAGGTAGGTAGGTAGGTAGGTAGATAGATAGATAGATAGATAGATAGATAGATAGATAGACAGACAGACAGACAGACAGACAGACAGACAGATGACATAGGTAGGTAGGTAGGTAGGTAGAGAGAGAGAGATGACATAGGTAGGTAGGTAGGTAGGTAGGTAGATAGATAGATAGATAGATAGATAGATAG